AGTTTCCAGCAGCTGTAGAGATGCCTTGTGTTTAAAGCAGCCACGAGACATGTGCCTGTTGGCCCAGGGCTGCTCAAGATGTGCTGTTGCTTGCTTTTCTGGGAAAGGGTTCTTGCAACATGAAAGAAGTGCAGGCAAACAAAGAGCTCTGGGGAGAGAAGTGACAGGCAGCAGCTGGAGCCAGTGGGTGACTTGCAGAGTGACAGAGCAGTTGGGCTCCTCGCTACCCTGCTACTATTTTGGAAACATCAATAAACAGAAAAGGCCAGATCAATCTCTCAGGGCTCCAACACAAACCCTGAGGAGCCCTGTGGACACTGGTGGCACCAGCAGCCTGAGACATCAGTTTGTCCATAAGAACTCTGCTTCATTTGGACTGTGGGCAAACTCATCGAATTTAGCCACTGAAAACATCATTAGCAGTCCACCAATTAGCAGATCTCAGCTCCTTTGCAGGTGCAACTTTGCACTGAGGAATTCATGCTCATTGTGCCATGGAGAATATGACTTCAACTTCTGCCGGGGGAGCATTCAATCTGCTGGAAAAAAGTATGGATGTTTATGTTTTTAAAAAGGGATTGTTTTTGCTGCTGTCAATTATTAATGGCTCTCAGGTCAGGCTAAGGAACAATGCCAGGGATAAATTACCCTGTATGCTATTCATATATGCTCTACCAATTGTTTCCTTCTCAACTAGAGGATTCACCTCGCAATGAACTCCTTGGCATTTGGAAAAAGAGGACTGACAAAGAAATGAACTTGGTGTGCCCATTTATTTATGCATTGACATCTTTCCTACTTTGTCATGTGTGTTTAATCAGAAAGAAGCAGGAAATGCATTATAATTATAAACATATTACTGCAGAAGAAAAAGGCTGCCCTTGGAAAGGACTGCATTGTTTGATAAATGGTTACAGTGAAAAAACACAGGCTTAACCTACGACTCTTTGCTGAGATCAAAGCAAAGTTGCTGCCACAGGCTCCCTGTGTAGCAGGACTCAGCTCTGGGTATGCAGCAAGGCAAGGGGAAGAAAGTTGAAAAGAAAATGCAATCTCCTCCCTTCCTTTTCTTTTTTTGCCTGAAACTTTTCCCCTAGTACTAAAAACAAAAAAAAAAAAATTTAAAAAATGACTCAACCATTAAATATTTGCTGTTAAAATTAATAGAATTAGTGAAGAACCCAGCTGTGAACACAATAACTAGGGTCATGTCCAAAGCCCTTGTTGAAGCCATGGAGAGACATTGTTTTCGACAGGTTCTGACTTGGGATCCTGATGAGCCAAAGCAAAGATGGAGTTAGGGAATAACCCTGGAGATTCTGGATGTCCTGCAGTCTTTCCACGTGACCTTGCCCAAACTTGCAAACATTCCTTAACAGCTGAGCCCCAGTCAGTACTGTGCTGCTGCTGTGAAAAGCAAAATCCTTCTGGGCTATGAGAGCAGGAATGCTGTAGGTAAGATGCAGAAAGGGTTTATTGCCCTTCTCAGCACTGCAAAGCTGAGCCATGGCCCTGCACTTAAATAAATATAAAAACCACCAACAGACAAACTGAAAATTGTCCAGAGGAGAGCAACAAAAATGATCAGAGGTCTAGAAAACATGACTTATGAGGAAAGATTGAAAGGGCTGGGTTTGTTTAGTCTACAGACTATGAAACATTCTAATAAACTCTAAAGATGTAAAAAACGTATCGCATCTAAAAGGCGTAATCAATTGCCCTTTATCTCTGTGGCAGAAGGTACAGCACAAAGAAGATAGTATTAAAAGCTCTGAGGCCAAAATACCTCAAGTTTGTTACTTGGGGAAGGATGAGAGCATCTTGTGGCAGATTTTCAGTGTTTTGGACAAGTACCATGAGGGACTGGGTAACTCACTGTCCCATGGAACAGATTGGTTTCAGCCATGTGGTCCTACAGTTTCCTTGATCTAGTGACTGTGTCAGGGTACCTGAGGACAAGGCCTTGGAGATTATGAACTTTTAGAGCACTCCCTGATTTGAAAAAATGTGTCAGGTGCTCAACCTTTATAGAAGTTGCAAGAAGAAATCTTTTTAAAAAGCCTTTTTTCCATGGCTTCCATGGTTATTAAATGAAGAGCAACAAATTCCCACCTTTTCATGGGACCATCATTGCATTGTGAAGAACCTTGCTGCTCTCCCATAGGGGATTCCCATCTAGGTGAGTACTCAAATGCTTGAATATTTAGATGATCAGACCTCTGAATAAGTATGTAAAAGTGCATCAGGTGGTGACAACCTTGCAGATCCTGCTCCAAACATTCCCTTCCTGACAATGGAGAAAGAGGTACCTTGGCCAACCCTTGCTAGGAGTGCTTTTACAACTGTAGAGCAGTGAGGATGGTATTAGGTACTGGTCCAGGTGGTGCTCAGCATCTGATTAGAAAAGCAACATCCCTTCTCCCCATTGTGCCCACCCAGAGCTGAGTATCCCATCCTGGAGCTGGGTGTGCTGCTCCCTACCCGTGTCTGAGTAACTTTGCTGTCCCTCGTCTGTCTTGGAAAGGCTCAACACTGTGTTCTGATTTCAACCCCTCTTCTTCAAAGAGCCCCAAAAGTTTTGTCAGAGTCTGCATCAAAACTCACCACAAGACAAAAGCACATTAGAAACCAGGCTTTGAATTTAATGCCCAGCAATCCCAAATTCCTTGAGTTATGGGCATGAGGCGAGAGGTTTGGGAAGGGAAGGAGCACAAGGCTGCAGCCAGAGCAGAGCTGGCCATAGCCCTTGGCATCTCCAAGTACCTCTGGGTCAAGTGGGGGCTCCCCAAGAGATGGGGGAAAGATGCTGTGCTCAATCCTGCCACAACCCTGCCTCTTTTTGCACTCCCCATTTCCTGCCCAGCTCTGCAAGGTACTGCTTGGTCCCACATGAGCACAGAGAAAATCACCAGTTATATGATATGGGAATTAAAAAAAAAAATCTCTTTGCTTCTAAGCGTAAACCTATGACTGAGGCAATGGTTTGCAAACATGGGATTATGGCCCCAAGTCAAGTTTTTTTTCCCCTCAGTTTTGGGTACAGTCACGAGCCTGGCAGGAATATGTGTCAGCTAAAATGCATGGCAGCAACTGGCGTCTCCTGGAGTTTGGAGCTGAGTGGGGTCACAACAGGATGGAGTTTGGGAAGGCAGCACTGCAGGGTTAGGAATAAACATCTCCCTGGGGCAGACTTTCCATAATTGGCCATGACAAGGCTTCTTTCTCCAGAGAGCTGGAGCTGGTCTGTGAGGAAACAGGATGAATCACTGCTCCCGCTCAATTTGGCAAATGCCATGATTTCGTTCTGCTCTGCACAGGGAGGAGATGATGATATAGACTGAAAGACAGAAGAGAAATCTAGCCAAAGGCTTCTGAGGTGGGAGAGGAGTTTGAGTTCCCACTCATTTTTCACAGGTTTACTCAGGCCCTTACAAGGAAACCCTGGCAATACCCACTGGTGCAAAACCAATTCCCTTTATCAACAAAGTGAGGGAACAATGGGGACTCCTGAACATAAAGCTCATGCAAACAATAATAGCCTTTTTATTTTCCATTGTTAAACCAGCAGTTGATACTAAATACTTCCTTCCAGCCCTCTACTTTGTTAACTATTTCTGTCACTCTTCTGCTCAATTTATGGGACGGGATCTTAGTGTCTGGAGCTGGTTTTCTGCAACGTGGTGGTGACCACATGGCTGTGCAGCCTTTTGTGAAGAGGAAGTTGAGCACGGTTTCCCTCGTGCCATCCTGTATCCTTTGAAAAGTTCCACTTTTTTTTCAAATATGAAGAAAAAGGGTGTTGTTTCTGCTGGCCTTTCTCTGGATAGTGGTCATCTGTAAAGCTCCTTGCTATCTCAGCAATCTTACCAAGCCTGGTGACCTAACAGCAGTTCACAGCCTGTTCAGTGTCTGATGATTAATCCCCTCCCTTTCAAAGTATGCACTTAGTGTCAGAACCCCACGAAAATATTGGTGGAGCAGAGCTGTTTTGCCAAGTGGCAGATTTAGACTTGCTCTTCTTGGAAAGCTGGCTTCCTGTCACTGGCTTTGTCTCATGGGCTTTTTTCCAGTGGTTTGGAGAGAGGAGAAAGGGAAAAAGAAATTGTTCCTCCCAAATACCTCTTCTCTTTTACATCCCCTTTCCTCTCTGTGTCCTCTCTGCTATTCTACATTTCAGGAACTCCATCAGCCAAAGTCATCCTAACTAACTCCACTGCTATTCCTCATGCCAAAGGAGAAGAAAGATCCCTGAAAAATAAGACCCCTTGAAAAAGAAAGTGCAGACAATTTTAATTTCCATCCCATCTTCTCCTGATTCTTCAGAGACCAGGCAGATGGAACAAAATTCTTCCCTCACTGTGGAAGAGTGTTAGCATAGAAAAGTCAAATCTGCTTCTTGTTGCAATATGAGAGTTCAGATCAAAGCATCAGTCTTTTGCCAATTTCTAATTAGCTGATAGAAACATTAAAATTTTATTTCTTATGAGCTGACTACCACAGTGAACTCAGGCATCTGCTCCTGGGCTGGCTACAAGATTGGAGCTTGGGGCTTCCTATTCTAAACACTGCCACCACTGGAAAGGAAAGCTTGGTCAGCAATGAGCAGCAAAGGGCTGTGGCAGGCAGCTGATTTGCATGACAGCAAAGATCTTACTTTCCATGGAGATAGCAGCATCCCCCTTCACTTCTGAAGTCCCTACAAACACAAATCCAACACTGGGTTCTTAGCCAGTATCTTTCTTCTGTTTCATCTTGAGATGCTGGGTAAGGCCTCCAGACTGGACTCAGCAGCACCACATGCAATATCAGCCAGGTGAACACAGTGTGAGCAAAGCTCATGGCCTTTCTGGCACAGGGTCTGGAAGGACTAACGCTGCTGGTACCTTCAAGGTCAGGACTTTGTGTGACCCCAGGAAGACTCCCCAAGTGCTCTCTGCAGAGTGAGGTGGGCTCTTTCCGGGAAGAAAAGCACAAAATATCAAGGAAGTACCAAGAGTTGTTTAGAGAAGGTTAGAACAGGGGACACACTGGATTGTCAGGCACCCATGGTCAAAGAGTCTGTGTGGCAGTTTCCCCTTTGGTGTCCATGTGTCAGTCTCTGGATCATAGCAGTCCAAGGAATCCAGGTCCTTGATGGCATTGTCTGAGGTGAGACATCGTCCTCCTGTGACATACAGCTTGTTCCTGATGACAGTGGCCCCATGATGCATTTGTCTGTCCTTCATGTCTGCACATTTAACAAACTTGTTGCCTTTTGTATCATAAGCAATTATTCTCCGGGTGTACCCTGAAGGCAAAGCCAGAGGTGGAAGAGACAGATGGGAATTAAGCACTTATGACCAGAAGGAATAATAATGATATATTTCATGCTGGTCTTCAATAAAACATATTATAGCAGTACATAATTTGGAAGAATTAAGATATCTAAATTAAGAAGTGATGATGTGTCAAAGGGATGCCTGGCTGTCTATCTTCCTTTCCTGTCTGTCCTCATCCTGTCTCGTAGCACCTTGGCAGGTTGATGAGCGCCATAAAGCCCATCCATCAGGCAACCAATCTATCAAACAGAGTTGGGCTTGCAGTTACCTGCATATGCCTTCAAACATCTGAAAATATTTCTTTTTACCAAACACACTCTTAAAGCTTCACTTGGAAATACAGAAACAAGTGGCACATGGGATGGGCCTTGTTGGGTTGGAGTTGTAGCTGTCTGCTGACTGGAGCTGGGTATGCAATAGCATGGTTGCCACCAGTGCTCACTGCACTCCTGAAGCCCTCAGCACCACATCTGTGCTGCCACCATGCCAGTGAGCCACTGGGCAGCTCCTCCTCTGAGGGGTGAAATAACTTCGTATCAGCTGAGAGGCCAGCACTGGTGAGAGGGCCACTGCACTGGAGCAGTGGGGGTGTGGAAGCCTGGTACCCAGCAGGACCTTGCTCACGTAGAAAAACATGAGTGTGGTCTGAGGGCAATCTGCCTGATATAAGCCTGATAGTCTTGGACCTTTGGACTCAGCCCTCCCCTCTTCTCACTGCAAAGGATAGCAGTGGTCTCTCCCTGAGGGGTGACACCGCCTTGAAGTCCTGTGCAGTTTGGGTTCAATCCTCTGCTTTGCTAAAGATGCTAAGTGTCTCATTTTTCCTTAAAAAATTCAACACATGCTTAGTCCCAGCAGTCTGTAGTCAGGGAAGAGGCATTAAGGACTGTAGAGGGCCCAGTTATCAATGACATGATACTCCTGACTGCCACAGGCAGAGGCTGGTCCTCAGGTTGAAAAAGACACAGAGAAGTTTCCTCTTTCCAAGTGTTTCACACTCCTTTTGGGATATTTCACAGTTAACCCCAGGAGGCAGCTAAAACACCTCAGAGACCTACAGCCCACCCACCCTGGCAAGCCATCCATGGCCTTGTGGTAACCCTGCTTTCCATTCTTCCAAGTGAGGAGACAGGGAGGACCAGGCTGTGAGTCAGGAGGGGAGGGTCAGGACCCCCATGCTCCTGGCTTCCTCCCAAGAGCAGTAACTTCCATTGACTTTTCCTCAGTTTTCTCCACCCAGGTACTGCTACTTGGGGTAAGAAAGTGCCTCATGGAGAATTTATCTCCACTTCAACTGCTATGAGGCTCCAGAAGAGAAGTGGGCACACTCTATGAGGCTCCAGAAGAGAGTGGGCACACTCCTCCTTTCCTTCCCAAGATCCAGGTGCTTTTTGAGGGAGCACCCCAAACAGTGAGGCTGCAAAAACCCCCAGGATCTGGGCAGGGGGAGGGAGAGGGAAGGTGAAACAGAGCCCTTACCACCTACGATGATAATCTGGTCTCCAATCAGAACAGCTGGTGCACAGACATTCTTCACTACTCTGGTCTCCATACGAAACCATGTATTCCTGGAGACATGGTAAACCTGGCAAAAAAATATTCACACAGCTGTTATGTTTCATTGTAACTAACATCTGTAATGACAGAGGAACTTTGGGTTTTATTTTGCCCTAATAAATACAATCCTCTGGCTCAAACCACTGGAAATCTGAGAATGTACCCACTTTTTTTTCCTAACAAGTCCCCTTGGAAAGCATTCTGGATCCCCAAGATTGTCTGCTGAGGAGATGCTAGCACATGCACTGAAGAAGTGTCTGCCATATGAAAGCTTCTTGCAAGGCTGTTAAATCACTGTAACTAGTTCTCCCAAAGGACAAGCTGATTCATTTCATTTTCCAGTTATCCTGTGTATTCCTTATTAGCCTTAGCAATTTCCTGGGCAAACAAACCTCAGCTTCAGCTAGCTCTGCTGGCAGCTGCTGTGTTTGCCCAGCTGCTATATTTATGCTAGTGACTGGTATGCACTCAGACTGGCAAAGGGACTTAGAGTGGTATCTAAGTCATCGATTTATGTGAGAAAAAGAGCTGTTGCCAGATGATGATCATTCAATCATCTGCATCTGGGTGACACAAACTTTTATGTTGTGTTATCTGCTTCTTAATATAGCAAATATCACCAGGGCATCTCTCCACTAACTGATAAATACATTTCCTTCCCCCTGATAATGAAGTACCGTTATAAAGCATTGCTCATGCCCTTGTTGCCATCTTAGCTTAATGATCCTTCTTAGTTAAAGCACCTTGAACAGTGAAAAGCACTCATGGGAAAGAAACATTTCAATGTTTCTAAAGCTTCAAATCAGATAAGTAAAAACGTAATGTAGTTTTTCCTCCTGATAGAGTGTAACGGCTGAAAGCAGGCAGAGAGCCAGCAACATGTGGCAGGAGCCCCATTTTTAACACAGCTGTTTATCCCAAATGACTGTCAGTTTAAGTTCTGGCCCTTTGATGAGTGAGTATCTAATCACCCTAATGATTGCGAGTGTTTGCGTTTGCTGCGAGAGCAGGTGCAGGCTGAGACCCCGCTCAGGGCCAAGTGCAAGCACTGATTTTGGTGAGATTGGCAAGGGAGCTGCTGCTGCCTGCCATGGCATCACCTGTGGCAGCCCTGGCCCTGGGGCCCACCAGTGGCACAGCTGACTGACACCCAAAGCAGCATCTCTGGGGCTGCTGCCTGAAAAACATTCAGAAGGGGAAAGTGGAAGGGCTGCAATGCTTCTTGAGGCCATGGATCAGCTCATCCTGCCTCTTGCTGCAACACACAGTGACATTTTTTGAGTGGTTTGATTTCCTCATGGAGGTGATGGACTGCTGAATAGCTTAGAAGAAATTGCCTACAACAAGCAAGGACTGACCATTACCTGGATAAGCCGAACAGGGTTTTGCATTATGTCTTCTCCCCCAAAGAGGTAAACCCTCTGATCTTTGGCAGCAACAGCAGGGTGAAGGACGGCAACAGGCATGTTTGCCATGCTCTCACAGGTGTTGTAGACACTATCATATCTTTCCACAGAATTCAGGATTTCCTGGTTTTCACCAATTCCACCGAATGATAAAATATAATTTTTATATGCCAGGCTTCTGTGGGAGTAACGTGGAATTAGCATGTGCTCAATCAACCTCCACTGATTGAGTTTGAGGGAGTAAATGTAAATATTACCACTGACCAGACTTTTCTTATTGCTAACAGGCATCCCTCCGAGCACAAAAACATTGCTGTGTAAACTCACTGCAGAGGCTTTGTAGAGGCGCATGGGAAGTTTGGCCAGGCTCAGCCATTGGTTTGTCTTCTCATCATACAGCAGGACATCCCTTGTGGTCTGCTGGCTGTCCTTCCTGCCACCGATGATGATGAGGAACTCCTGGTTGGAGTACCTGCGAGGAACATGCACCATGGGTTTGATGTCAGGCATGTTGGTGCTGTACAAGGAGAACATCTGTCTCCGGGCTGACTCCAGGATGCTCCTGCAAGTGGGTGAGGCCTGAACGAGCGAGTCATTAGCAATGAAATGGAAGAGGAAGGTTGGATGGACGTACTGCAGTCGGACCTTCTTGAACAACTCTTGGATGTAGCCTTGTCGTGCCTGGAGGTCGTGCCGGATCCAGACCATCAGTGCCTCAAAGACCTGCTCCTCCTCCCCACAGAGCTCATCATCCCCAAGGTAATCTATGAGCTCCGTGGGACAGAGCTCCTTCAGGTCCTCAGAAGAGGCCACCAGAGGAAAACATTTCAAAGCCATAGCCTTGGCTTTCTTATTCAGGCTTTGGCAGTTCAAGACTTTTGCCAGTCTGATCATGCTCAGACAGTTGTCAGGGGTCAGCTTGTCCTGGAGGTAGGTAGAGCAGGCCTCAAACAGCTTAGTGTACTGCAGCATGGATGCTGTCTCCAAGAGGCACAAGACATTCTCAGTGGATATGAGAATCTCCCCAGTGTAAACATAAAGGATAATCTGATCCAAAATATTGGCATCGATGCCCTTTAGAATGACTTTAGGCTGGTGACTCTCCCTGAAGTTGTTACAGAACATTGCCTTGAAGTATGGGCTGCTGGAAGCCAGCACATTTCGGTGACAGGGGATTTCAAAGCCCCCGGAGCAGAGGGTAACATCGGTCAGCATCCTGCTCTGCCGCAGAGCATTCAGCTGCCTCAGCAGTTCAGAGGAGAAGTCCTGGTCTTTGAAGAGAAACTCTTCAGTGGATCCCTCTTCCATAGCAAAATATGAGAGATGAATTCTGGACTTAGCAGAAAAAACCCCCAAATTCTTAGCAGCTTTTATTGAAAAATCCAGCTCCAAGGGAACAAATCAGGACTTTGATGTTGCTGTAAATATCCGTTCACTATTACACATAAAAATGGAACATGGTTTAAGCACAGTGGGAAAATAATAAAGAAGCCAAAAGGTCGCTAAGACCCTTTAAAACTTTCATAAAGTTATCAGATAGGTTGCAAGTCTGAGGTCAGCACTGCCTGTGTCGTTGGCAAGAAGCAAAAGCACTGAAATTATCTCACTGATTTTGGATTAAAGCTGGAGGGCTGAAGCAATTGGTTTGTCCATTTCTATCATGTTGAATAAACGCACTTAGACATTTATTCACGATTTTAAAGTATTAGCAGTTTAGTAGCTTGTGCCTCTTTCCTCTAGAGTTAGTCACTCCCAAAGAATGCAAATCTGGCAGAGCTGAACTCTGCAGCAGGACGAACAGAACCCTAGAGGCTGGGAATCTGCATTAAAAGTTATTTATTAACTCTGCTTAGCTGTGGTTTTTTTATGTTAATCAGACACACAATGACTAAATTAAGTGCCAGGCAGAACAATATGATGAGTATCTACGGTCATGGCTTAACTGCTCAACCTGCAGTGGAACCGAAGGGTAGAAACGTTTACCTTCTGCTGTCCTTCACTGCATGCACTTACTCTCTGTCGTTTATTCTCTGCTGAGTTTTTCCACAGCTAGAGCCTGGGCAAAACCCTATGAACCCACGGGAGGTTTCTTTCGGTGGGTAGGTGATTCATAGAGGGTCGTTTCTGCCGTGTTTGTGCCGCTGCCGGGCGCGCAGGAGCGGCGGGCATTGTGTACATTCCTGCGCTAAGAATAGCGCGCAGCGCTCCGCGCTCTTATCGCATGTGACGCCGCCGCTGCCTTTTGCAATGACCTGGCTGCTTCTGAGCATGCCCGGGCGGTGTTTTTCTGGCAAATGTTTACATATAATAAATAGACACGGAGAGGAAAGTTCACTTATAAAAGTCCTGGCTGTCCGTTTGGAAACAGTGGCAGGGCGCTGTCCTGAAGTGCCTGGGAACTGGAGAAGCCTGTAAACAGTCTGCAATGCCTCGCACCACGCTGTCACCGGCGTTCCACGGGGAAAGGCGGAGAGAGGAGGCTTCCAGGGACTCCGGTGGGACGGACCGTGTCTCCACCCTATGGAAGGATCTGGGGAGCATAAGCCCGTTGCAGTGTGGTGGGAGATGCTGATGCACTGGGACCCCTGCATCCAGCGCTGCTCCAAGCTGGTAGCCCAGCTACCTTCACCAAGCAGAAAGTGAAGTTCACTCTTGGAGCAGTTTATCTTTATGATGCTGCTTGATATTTCATATAGAAAACATCAGGTTGTGGCCTTTTGTCTAACGACTTCAGCTCTCTGAAACCCCTAGCAAAGAATTCAGATGGCTTGAGGAAGCTCAGTGCTACAGGTGGGAGGACTGGAGCAGGTTGCTGCAGTGAGTAGCAAGCTGGAAACCAAGATTCCAGAGTGGCAATTCCTGGGGTGGCACAGGGCTCCCCAGGACACACACCTTGCTGGGATCCCTCACTGCAGATGGCTGCACATGGACGAGCTAAGCTCCTTTTGCAGGCAGTGAGGTCTAGTCAATACAACTGAGTCTGCCAAGTAATTCAGGTCACCAGTATGTGCAACCTGTACTTGCGCAGGGGAACAGCTCTCCAGGCACTGCTGGGTGTCCAAAGGTGCTCAGCTGCCTCACTCACATATAGGTGCCCGTATTTAACATTCCCATGGTAGGCATCTATGATGATGAGCCTAAATCCATCCTCAGGACTGGGACCATTCAAATGCCTTGTGCCAGGGGAGGATCCTCCAGAACCCCAGCTGGTGCCCTGTCAGGGTCTTCAGCAGGTCAAGTGTGATGTGTCCCAGCTCTATACCAAGTTCCTGTGTGCTTCAAGAGAAAGAATTGGCTGCCCTTGCCTGGGCTACTGAATTGGGCTCCTCATCTCTGCTGAGATTTCTCCCTTTGTTCTAGGGTGGGGTTAAATCCAAAATGCAGTTTCTAAGCATCCCTACAGCAGGGAAACATGAGGTTAAAGCAAAAGTCCTTCTCATATTTTCAAGCTTACGGGTGAGTCATGCCTGCATTTAGTCACAGCGAGGCAGACGAGCAAAAATCCTTGGGAGCCTCATGTCAGCTCCTGTGCCAGGCTGGTGTTTGCAGTCCTCCATGTGTTCCTGCCCCTGTGTCCATGGTGCAGCAGATCACAGGGATGTGGGCAACCTCTTGCTCTAAAAATGGCAGCTTTGCATCATGGGCATGCTGTACATGGCCTTTCTGACGTGGTGAAGTGCCTGAAGGCAATGAAACCCCTGAAGGCCCAGCCTCATGTTAAAGGCAGGGTGGAGTCAGGCTAGTGTAGATTTTTGGAGGCTGCCCACATGGTCTGGGTGTGTGTTTGCAGAGAGGTGAGGGAGGGCAAGAGCAGGAGCCACTGGACTTGACTCTTGCAGATGAGTCAGTTTGAGGGTAAACATGGCAATCTACAGCCTTTTCCCTCTTCTCAAGTAAAGAAATGATCCAAGAATGATGTTGGGGTGCTGGGGAAAGTGTACCCTCCCTCCCTACTCCCTGCCACCGCTAACTCACCAGCTGGACATGATCTTGCTATAAATATTTAGAGTGGCATTAAAAACCCAAAGGAGAATTTTTTTCCCTCTCCTTGTCCAGGGAACATTAGCTACCCAAACAAAACACCCTCTCACTTTCTTTCTTGCTCTGTATGCATTTGCTCTTGTTGCAGTCCATTCTGATGATTGATGTAGCTTTATATCTCTCTTCTGGCTCCAACTCCTTGCTGCCTGTTTAGTTCTGCCTCTTCCTGGCAGTGGCTGTGGATTACTCTCTTAACCCTTTAAGAAAAAAATAATGGTGTCTGACTTCATTAATGACATTGGTTTACGGGGTTGGGGAAGGCTGGGTGGGATGTTCTTGTGCTTCAGACATTGATAAATGTGACATTTATTTATAAGATCCCAGGCTCGATGGCTTTGCGCAGTTACGCAAACTCCTGCTCACCCAGAGTACAGAGTGTGCTGTTTGAATAGCTCATTGCTTTGGGGAGGGTGGTGATGCTCCTTGCTGCATCCCCACACAGGTCCCTGCCAATTTAGAGTCAGGCCTTCTGAGCAATAAAGCTTCTGCTGCCTGCCTTACAACTCTCTTCAGTTTGTTCCCCAGAGATTATGGCTTCATATCTGCAACAAGTGGGCACATCAGCACTGCTTAGTTAGGGTTTTCTTTATAAATACACTAGAAATCACTTTTCCTGCCAAAGACAATAGGTCCTGTATGCTCCCCAATCTATGGAGGAGGGAGGGGAGGTGGGTTATGAGCCCTGCTGAGAGGGTAGAGCTGTGTCTGCTGTGGGACAGTCTAAATTATCAGATAAAATCTGTTTCTAAACGAGCTCTCGAGGCAAGTTTTCTAGGGAGGTATGTTATTGACTGGACCAGACCTGAGTGGTCTTTCTTTTGGGAAGACAAAATTAGTGCATTACCATGAGAGCGAGATCTTGCACAGATAACGGTCTTGTCGGAACACAAATGGGAAAGTGGCCTCATTCACAGGGTGTGTGACCCAGCAGCACCTTGAGATGTGATGCTGCAGGTGTCCCATAGCCCTTGATGGGCTGGAGCTATTGGGGGCTGTTACAAACTGTGACCCTCTGTAATTTCTGCTATACAAACTCCATCTGTGGCCAATTTCTAGAAAATAGAAGCATCTACCAGAGAACAAACATGCTGTTGTTACACTGTATACTCATCCTGCTCCTTCTGCTCTTTCTCCTTAAGTGTTTGGCATCATTCAGTTTTGGAATTGTGGTGATTGAACCTTTGATCTGACCCAGTGCAGCTCTTCTTATGCTTTAATGCAATAGGATGATGAAATCTCATGCACTGAGCAACAGAGCGGAAAAAAAGCTGTAATCTGACCAGCCAGCAGACAGGTGCACAGAGACTGGTGATGTCAGACAACTTTAAAACTCATATACTGATCCTATTACAATTCAGGTGAAAATGAACAAATATGGATAAAGAAAAAGGACTGCTCAAGACAGAGACTTCACTGAGCTTATTCAGTGTTATGTGCAGGATCTCAATGACCACCAGCCCCCACAGTAATCAAGAGACAGATCATCCCTTTGCCCAAATTTTCAGTCTAAACTGACAGGGGACAAGAAAAAATATTTCTTATTATGGTCCTAATAAAAGTGGGAGAGGGAATAAAATGCAGGATTAACATTTCTAATTGTATAAAGAGACAATTACAAGGATCATAATTAATCAGATGCCATGGAGAGGATGGGAAGATGCCTCAAGCAGCAGTGGTGGCTGGTTGGGGTGGCAGCTCAGCCTAGGCTGGGAGAACATCAGATTGCTCAGGGACTTGTTCAGCTGAACTTTTGAAATCTTGAAGGATGCAAATTTCACAGCCTCTCTGGACAACCTGCTTCCATATGTCTGACAGGAATTTCTTTTGCTGCAATTAGTGAATGCTGTCTCTTGCCCACAGAAAAATCTGCTAACTTTCTTCTGCTGCTGCTACTTGCCAGCTATCTGACCTTCTTCCTATTCTTTAAGTCCAGATATCCTTATGGTCTTTCTCTCTCATTCTTTTGTAACTATTATGTTATTAATTTTCTATTTAGCTGCTCAGCAAACATGTTTTCCCTGAGTCCTATTGCCACAGCTGCCATTCACATTGATATGATACTTAATGCTGAATTAAGGCTTATTTTAAGAATCTGGGCTTGGTTCTGATTTTGCAAGCAAGGGCAACAGGGTTCATCTATGGATACTGGTCTTGATCCCCTGACCTAACTAATAAAGGCATGGGGACAAGTTTTACAGCGTTGGAGTCACAGAGCAACTTCCCAAGAGTCACTCTTTGCATTGTGTACAGATAGAGAGATACAGCATGTAATTCAATAATGACTTTGGCCCAGTATACGTGGGTGTGAAGATCTGTGGGCTCCTGGCTTGGTTTCAGGCCAATCTCTAATTAAAGAGTGAAAGATTAAGATGAAAGCAATTGCACTCTTCTTTAGTCAGAATGACCTACTAGTGTTAATTAAAACAGTCTTCAGGCAAAAATAAATTTGGCTGCCAAAGTTATGTGCTTCACATTAAATAAGGACATAGCTGGTTTAAAGAGTGCCGAGCTTCTAGAGGTTTCGCAGAAACCACTCATACAGCTTTGGGCACTTTTGTTGGAATATTTTAAAACAAATCCTTCGCTTAAACCAGCTACTTCATGTGTATTTCAGACTCCAGCTGGCTTTTTCTTCAAACTACATCATTTGAGAATGGGTACCTTATCTTGGTGTGAGCATACAGTGTTCTGGAGGATAAAATATCACCCTATCATTGGACACCAAAGTATCTTCATCTATCTTTTCTATTGTCTCTGGTTACAGACCCATGGCAACAGCAACAAGAAGATACTTGGATCCTACATTGCTCTGTTCTTGCTGGGTCTGAACATTAAAATGCCTGTGATAAAGACATTCAGGCATTCAGCATCTGCCCCAATATTTTTAGGAAGCTAGAAATGTTCCCAAAGAAGGATCAGGCCTTTAAAACGCCACAACATCCTATTACACCTGTGTGAGACACCAATCATTGTTCTCAAAAGCCACAAATCTCTCTCATCTCTCATTTATACTGCCCCATCTTATAACTGGGTGGCCAGGTGTTGCTGCTGTGACATTGATCCAAGAGGGGAGAAACAGGCCCAGTGCTTCAGAAATGCTGTTTTCAATGGGAATAGGATGGCAGCAGTCATCACACCTCAGAGGGCCTGAAAGACCCTTCATCACGTACAGTGGTGGAGCACTTCAGAGGCAGAAGGGGCCAGACAAAGAGAAACACTCATGGACCCATCTCCTTGACCTAAATTCTTCACTCTCTTCTTCTTAGTCATCAGGTTCTGTTATAATTTTTTTCATGTACATCTTCTCTCATATGATGATAAGATCTTAGGGCAATTCAGGGAGGAGGGGAACTCCAGTGGTCTCTAATTCAAGCTCCTGCTCAAAGCAAGGTGAGCCATGAGATCAAACCAGGAAATATCCCAGGATGAAGACCATGCCCAATGTCTTCCTCTTTGGGAACACCATTTCCTGCCTGACATCCACCTCAGGAAAGACCCTCCTCTTCCCCTGTGATGCTCCTGCACCATATCCCAGGATGGTGGGGACTGCAAGTCTCTCTCCTTCATGGGATAATTTAGGAGGTGACTGCTGAGAGGGCAACTCACGAATCGGGAAATCACTCTGGCCTTCCCTGTTGACAGCAGGACTTTAATCAGGGCCTGACTTAAATCATTAATTCACAGCCCTCAGGTTGTTTAAAGAGCTGTGATAATGAGCTGAGAAGAAATTACTGTTCATTTTCTCTTGGCAGGACTGTAATGGCATGACATGACATTCATTGAATTTAGGAAAGAGCAGGGATAATCTTCAGAATGAGAGAAAGACAGAAAATCTATCCAGAAGAAACAATGACAGAAGATTCCTCCACATATGCAAACACAAAGAGGTCAATTTATATCTAGTTTTTTCAACATGTCTTTATTGCTTAAGGGCATTTGGCAAGACAGCCATAACATAAACCTCATGTCCAACATTACTTGGCAACATATTTCCCAGCTGGAAAGAAAATAAATTGAATTTTTTTCTTTGTGCTAATGCCACATTTTTGGATGGTTTTTTTGGATGGTTTTTTGGAAGCTAATCAAGAGATGGCTGCTCAGCGTGCCTCTTCATTCTTGATGGGCTTTCAGTGCAAAATTGCCAGCAGCAACTTTCTGAAGTCCCCAGAGGTGTCAGAGCGGACAGCTTCAGCTAATGGCTTCTTGTACATCTGTTGGAACTTCTCCTTTATTGCTGGCAGGTCGCTCTGAGGAGACACCAAGAGCCTCTTTAGAAGAGTGGTGAATGCTTTGAGTAACCTGCCCTGCCCCTGCCAGCACCCCTGGGGTCTGATTCAAGGCCCACCACAGGAGTGGGAGTAGGAGAGGAGAACGCAGGAGGTCTAAAACTCTTGGAGGACTTGGAGCTGAACATTTGAATTCGAGGTAAGCCCATGTCAGATGGTGGTGAGGGGATGCCAACTGTGAAGAGGGCCTGCGTGGAAAGTTATGCCAAGGCTGGGAGAATTTCTGCCCAGTGGTGCTGTGCCAGCACAGCCTTGGTACTGGAGAAACTCACACAGTAATGATGTCTCAGGGGCTCCTGAGGCCATCCCCTGGTGGCAATCAGGGAAAGAGGCATGTCCCAGGAGCATGGCTAAAAAAGAGTGTTGTTCCACCCAGAGAAGTAATTTTCTGGTTACTGGTGGGGGAGAAACAAACTTCTTATCTGGAGCTGTCCTGTAAAAAAGCACCTACAGCACAGGTCTGATCTTCATCACAGTGGGTTTTAAATGTTATAATGACTGGACTGTGTCTTAATAGAGACAATACCCCGGAGCCTAATTTTTCTCACTGTGGATCATTGAGAAATATGTTTTCCTTTCATTCCTGTGAAAGGCTCCTCCTCTGTGTTGATTGAAACAGCCCTGGGGTTACAACCTACACAACTTACAAGGAATGCTTAAAGATTGTCCTTAAATATCTCAAATGTCTTATGAAGTTTTGTGCTTCTTAAAATGACAGTTAACTCCTTTGGCTTTTTATTTCTCTTCCCTCCTCCCCATCTGTTTTTCCCAGCTGGAATCAGAGAAAATTGGCAACATATGTTTATAAGCAATTCTCAAATTGGAAACTGCTGCTTTATCATTAATTAATTAGGAATTACTTCTACACATCCTACTGGGGCCACACCTCCCCATGGGCTGGTGTTAACCAGGTACAGTTGACTCCACTTGAAATTGCCTACATGCTTCCTGGTTTAGTTCCTTTGAAAACAGAAATAGATGCAATATCAAAATTAGAGGTGCCTGGGTACAAAAGCAGAGTGTGACCACTGATGTCACTGGGCTGAAAAGGGTTTGCTGAGCACATGATCTACCAGGACTCACTCCATACCCTCTACATTTGTGTTCTCCCAGAGCTGATGTGAGGAGTTACAGGACACAGGGTACCCTACCTCAGCCCTGGTCACAAGGATGCGAATCAAGGTCTCTTCATCAGTCCCAGCTCCTTTCATCGATTTGTGCAGAAGCGTGGCAAAGTAACCTGGGCAGTCTTTGGCACAGCTGACTAAAGAAAACAGTAAGAGGCCTCATTATACTTGTACATTTACAGTTTGTGATACAACTTCAAGCAGAATTAAATAAGTAAGAAAAGGAAACTCTAGTGTTTATGCTTAGACATATGAACTGGCAGGGCTTTTATTCTGAGACTGATCCCCTATCAGTATGCAAGGAGAAATCTTGGAGTCTGAATGGGGATGCCCATTTTTCCACAAGAGATTACCAGCACTGAGTACTCAGCCATTCCACAGTGAAAACGACATGAATGAGGATGAGCATTTGTCCCCATGGGGTTCCTCTGGCCCATCCATTCTTGGAGTAGCTGCTTGTTGTATTGCACTAAATAGTTTATTTAGCCATTTACAGCTGCTCACTCTGCAGATCACAGGAGGAAGGTCCGTGAGAGCCTAAATTCAGATGGGTAACAGCAATACAAGTGAGGCAGGGCACAGGTTTAAGTACTGGTCAAAGCCAACCCTAGTACTAAATTGCTGTCTAGGACCCTGAACATTTTTGTGGTGGCTGGCTAGCACACTTCTCATGGTGCCCAAGCATCTGCTGAAAGTTATCACCGGCCATTGTCCCAGAGGCAGCTTGGAGATGGCTACCCTGTGTTAGAGAGCAAAAAATTCAGCTTTTCCTGTGGAAAGGATCTGTGGGTGGCAAGTTTCAGTTTTAAAACCAAGGAGTCCTAATCACTACTGAAAGCTGTCTCTTTTTTCCCTGGCAGATATGTTAGCTCAGTTTAGGGGTAGCTCAATGGCTGTTGCCGGGCTGTGCACAGACCCCCAACGAACAATGTCAGGTGACAGCAAGAACTAGAAAAGAAAAGTCTTGAAACGATTGCTTTTTACCTAGAGTCAGATAAGCCTTCTCCAGATCTCCAGATGTTTCACTTTTAATGGATTCTTCTATGTCCTTCCCACACACCTATGAGAACAAAAAGGAGCCATAAAAGCTTTTGTCTGTACATGTCTTCCCACTGTCAAACCAGCATCAGATTTGGGACCCAATGGCAAAAGGTCAATCCAGATCCTTTAGAGCCTTTCCAAAGGAGTAATTTGAGGTAAATGAAGTTCTCCTCACAGATGCACTGTGACCCACAGGAGAAGGTCTGTGCAGCCAGGTAAGCACGGTGGTGAAGGGATGGATAATCTCCACCAGGCAGTCCCAGGTATCTGACAGCCTCTAGGACAAAGGAGCTGCAGCTTCTTCTTGACTGACCCCTGGTCAGCAGAAACTGTTCGAGCTTTCTCTAGCCCCTCTATCAAAGGCTCTGGATGGCTCCCACATAAATAAGATAATTTTTGGAGCTTTACCAACTCTGTGAAGTTCTGTTACTTATTGTCTTTGGCTTCGCAGGCAAAGTTTACAAGCACCGCGGTCGTCCCAAAGTTTTTGTATTATTCTGTAGGGAATTGGAGAAGCAAACTGTCTCTTCAAAACAGAGCTTACCCTGACTTTTGTGAACTTCAAGAACCTCAAAGACTTTTACTTTGCTCTACTTTGCGTATCAGGATGTTCCTGCATGATTCAACACTGACTTTTAGGTCAGAGCTGGGAGACTGTGTGTACAAGGCAGCAAGAGCACCATGTGAGGCTTTAGGGCTTAAGTTCTGCAAAGCACCAACCTGGTTTAGATCTTGCCCTGTGTATTTCTCCAGCTGAAGAGAAGGGCATGTTTGCAAGATTTGGGCTCTAATCTTGGCCTACTTTGAGTGCAGCCAGGCAGGATGTGGTGGATTGGTTTGGGCAACCTGATCTGCTTGGATTTAGAAATCAAAAGCCAAGGTAGTTTGGCAGTTGAGCATTTAACTGAACCCCCAGGGTTTGGGCCACTCCAAGGGAGAGAGTATCAGTTTGTAACTGGGTTTGTTCTCCTGCCAGCAGCAGCCCAAAACTTGGATTAAGCTGCAAACATTTTTGTAGCTATTGGTTCCTTATTATATTGACATTGAAACGTGGCTTTGACTTGAGCTCTTTCCATCTTCAGTGCCTAAGGCTGCAGTTTTCTGATTAACTCAGAGTCTTCCCAGGGAAGTTCAGGACTGTGAGCCAGAGGCTGGAGGGAGATCCTGAGAATGTCACTGCTGAGCTTCCCCCTTGCTGCTAGGAGAAGGACCTTGGATCTCCCATTGCTTTGACTTTCAGAGGTAATTTTCAAACAAGATATCTCCATATCAGGTCAGGTTCAGGCCCAGGCACGAGTAAAATGTCCCTGCTGGGTGATGCAGGGAAAAGTACTAACAGCCAGGATCCTGCTGCCTCCTTTGCATTATGCTTGGAGACAGGGAAAGCACAGCAAAGCACCTGCACAGGCCATCTGCCCAGTGTGGGCAGAGAGGAAAAGGCTGGAGATAAACTTCTCCTCAGCCAATATGAGTGTGTGAAGTGGTGGAACAGGAGGAGATACCTTGCCAGGGTCTGTTTAGGAGAAGCAGAAGAAAAGACCAGAAAAGCAAATCCTTCCTTCAGGGCAGGAGTTTGTGAACCTGTCCCTTTGCTGCAGGAGGGGGGTACACTGTCCTGCAGCTGTGGGAAGGAGCAGACATGGTGACATTTATTTGGCTGAGTATTGTGTAGGTTGTGAAGAGGAATGGGATCTTCACTGGCAGAAGATACAGCTTCTCCTGCAAATCACCTATTTCTGTATGCTCAGGATACAGTTGTGTAAATATGTTTTCTGACATTCTTAAAGCATTCAAGAAGTTATAAAATGGCAGATAAAGGATTTTCCACTCTACATAGAATCATTTATGTTGGAAAAAACTCTTCAGATCATTACATGTCATTGTAGGATCTGCACCTATATGTCAGGGCCTATGCAATGTCCATTGCAGAAGATAAACTCACCTTTTCATAGGCTTGAAAAGTGGCTCTCAGCTGGCTGTAGCTTCTCTTTGCTAGGACCACATTGAAAGCCAGCTCCTCTGTTCCCCAGCGCCCTTCTCCTGCCTTCAAAAGCACATGTTATTTTCTGGAAGCACTTGTTCATACACAGTAGAGACATGAAGTCAGCCAGAACCCTTGATCCATGCAGCTCCAGCCCATGCCCCCCTTGCTCCTCTCCTTGAGCTGCCATTGCCCCTGTGCTTGGTTTGTTTAGTCCCCCTGAGGCAGCCCTTGCTGCACAGCAAGGGGAAAAAGGGATTTTTGCACAACTGCACTTACTTTATACAGATCTGAGGCATCTTGCTCAGCAAGCTCTGCGTTGACCTGCTGGGTCTCATCTCGGGTTGCCTGCAGAAAAGCAGACAACAGTAAAAAACACCCAACCAAGCGCTGGTTTTGTTTCAGCTCACAGATATTTGTGTATCGATGGCCCTGACAGATTTTTGGGTTGGGGTTTTGCTGCCATCTGCTGACAGGAGCCTGGGGATGGGCACGGTGTCACCCCCTGGGTCCCTGAACCCTTCGTGTGGGGTTTGTGCCCAGCTTTATGTGCTGTGTACCCGGGCCCTAACGAGATGGCAACGCTGCTGCCCCTGGAGCAGGGAGGGGCCCAGTACCTGCAGAGAAGGTACAGTGATGTTTTTAACAGGGCTGGATGTGCCCTGGTGACTGTGAAATGTTCTCCTGACCAACCTATGTACTCTGAGCATTCACCAACACTGCCATCCCTGGGAGAAATCATCGATGAACAAAAAAGCAATAAATGTATTTGCCACTCCTGAAAGTTTACAGGAGGTTGGAAAAAGCTACACCAATGATTCCCAGAATGACAGTCTAAACTGTGATGTATTTAGTGATGAGACGGTTATGTCATTAAAGCTTCTTTTATTTATTCAGTCTTTTCATTTCCCAGGGCTGTCAGATCAGACTGACCAACACATTGCACTTCTCGATGTGCTCCTATTTTTCTTAGTTATAATGTGTCTTTATGAAGGTGTTGATTTTTTGCTTTATTTCATGAAAGGGGTTTATAATAAAATGTATTCTAATGGAAAATAAGCTTTTTTTGACGAATGAAAAACTAACATAACAGCAATCTCTTTCTTAGTTGTTCTGTATCTGAATTCTGAAATCCTTAGCTGAGATGGAAATAAGATTTTGTGGTTTAGGGCAAAAATTCAGAATAGTGGGGCCATGACCTCGAATGAGTATTCTAGCCTTTACCATGGTATAAATAACAGTAAAACAATCCTGTTTTTTTCAAAGTATCAATATTGATATAACTATCTGTGGCTTCATAAACAAAAATGGTACATAAACTGAAATTGTACATATTAAAAAGCCATAGATATGAAAGGCTCTTATACTGAGGAATGCCTTTGTTTACTGTAATTACCTCATTATTATATTACATATCATAACTGCATTATTATAAATGACAGACAATACTTATTATGGTTACTCAGGGAAAAAAGGAAATGTCTCTGTCAGGCAGCTGCATTAGAGGAAAGTCCCCAGCCTCACCTCCAGCACCATGACTAATATCTTCTGTAGGGAGCCACTGGTGTCACTTTTAACATCAGACTCCAGATCCCTGTCAAACACTGGGAAGAAACAAAATCTGTGAGAGTTCAACCAGTGAGAAAGGATTTCAATGACGGCATTTGAAAGATAAAACTACTTACAACGCTTGTAGGCCTCCTTTATGTTTACAATTTCCTAGGAAAACAAAAAAATAAATAAAGTAATAATCAAATTAATAAATAAATAAAAGATGTGTTATTAATTAGTAAGTAAATGAGCAAACAAAACACCAGCAAGTCAGCACCATGCCTGTAGTGTGTGATGTCACTGTCATATTTTCTGAAAAATCCCCTTACCCAGGATTCTTCTCCTGGGAAGCTGAGAAGCCTCACAGAAAAACAATATTATCCTCATTTGCTTCTCCTCCTTGCTGCTTTGGGATGTAGTTGGAGATTGTTTATCCAGCATGTGAATTGTTTTAACTTAATGACCAATCACAGTCAAGCTGTCTCAGGACTCTGGAAGGAGTCACAAGTTTTTCATTATTATTTTTTAGCCTTTTGTCTGTATCCTTTCTCTATTCTTTAGTATAGTTTTAATACAGTATTCTTTAATATAATATAAAATCTTTTAATATAATATAAAATTCTTAGCCTTGTAAGAATATAGAGTCAGATTCATCATTTCCTTCCTGCCACAAGGGACCCAGAAAATACCCCAGTGTGAAGTGCAGCATCCACAGGGGTGGGAGAAGCTATGAATTCCCAGTCCCCATTGAGGACAGTGCTTTGAGGGGTGCCTGACTCATGCAGGTGTCCCTCTGGTTTTCCCTGCATTTAGGCAAGAGTTAACTATTTTCTTTTTCACTAGGATCATGTTCCTGTACCTCTGAACCATCAGAGCAGTGCCAAAGCTGCCCTTTAACATGTATCTGGGGATTCTTCCCACTGGTGCTGCCTCCGTGCCATCCAAGGCAGGCAGGAGCAGGATAAAGGAAGGAATGTGAATTTTATTGGTCTTAACCCCTGTTGGAGTTTCAGCTCTAGTATGGCAATCTTACTGCTGCAAACACTGGCAAGAGGCGTTTCAGCCGCAGGAGCTGGACTGATCCCTGCTCCTCCTCCTGCTGAGCTCCCGGCCCTGCTGCCCAAGGCAGGTCCCACAAGGTGCTGCCCTGACCTTGTTGCTCCGAGTGCACAGGATCTCAATGAGCAGCGACTCGTCCGTCCCAGCTCCCTTCATCGCCCTCCGAAGCTCTCGGGCCTCGAACTCGCAGGGCAAGTCCAGCAAAGCCAGCACAGCCTTCTCAAAGTTCCCACTCAGGTCTCCCTTCAGGTCCTCCTCCATCTCCTGTGGGGACAGCCAGGAGGGTTACTGCAAAAGCTGAGGTGACATTAGAGGATTTCTTAATTTGTTTCAGGAAATCAAACTACTTAAAAGCTCCTTCTGTGCCAAAAATGGACAAAACAATTTTTAAAAGGCCTTAAAATTCAGACTTTTTTTTTTTACAAAATAAGATCCCTTAAAATTTTGGCTTTAGATTGACTGAAATGATTGTCCCATCTTCAAATAGCAGCCAATATTAGTCCAGTTATGACTGTTACCTGTGTAAAAAAATCCAAAATAGTGTTTTGAAAAACTTAACAGGAGTTTAGTCTGAAATAAAACGCAGAAGCTTCCTCCTTTGAAAGAGCTGCCACACATGGAATCAAAGAACCTTATCAGTCAGTTTTGGTTAAAACTGACTTCCTGGAAAAAGCAGCAGATTTCTGCAAGGTGCTTTTGTGCCAAGCAAACAGCATTTTTACAGACACATACCCACATCAACCTTAAATCAAAATTCAGTAAGACTCTGGAGGAGAGCTGGCCTGTGCATGCTGAGGATGCCAGCTGAGGGTGCATTGGAACTCCTGTCTGCAGGTAACATTTCCTGCATTGGCAAGGACAGAACACTGACTGAGAAGTCCAGCTCTATTATTCTCAAGTTCCTGCTTGCACAGCTGCAGGTGAACACTCAACTGCTCAAGTCAGAGGCTGCCATCTGTGCTGGAGCAGTTTCAACACACACCCCACAAATGCTGCAAGTTCCTGGAGCAGCAGGAGGGACATGGTGCCACTTGTGCCTCCCGCCCAGGAGATTCAGGCTGCCCAGGAAGGCAGAAGGGTGGCTATGAGCTGATGTCACTGTGATGTTTCAGGGCATTTGATAATTTCTAATGCTTATATGTATTAACTCTGATTATAGAACAACATTATAGTATTTGTAGTAACCAAAATCTGTATCATGCTTGCTGTAAATTTTACATATAGAAGGCTTTCATTCATCTTCAGTGCTGTCTTATTTAGACTGATTAATAAGCAAGCAGACACTAAGAAAATACCAATTTAATAATAAAGTCTGCAGGATTCAGCAGTTTACTGAAACAATATTTTAGAAGCTTTATTTTTCATACACACAAAATCATTAAGGCAGTTTATGCCTTCCGCAGAAATCAAGTGCCCAATGAAACTTCTGAGTTTTGCAACATGTTCTACTTCATCACTGGAAGAAATCAATTAAGCTTCTATTAAATTCTTCTATTAAACTCAATAAAAATAAAGTTGTGCGAGATCAAATAGTTTCTCTGAATTTGCATCTGGTCTAAGTGGGACTCTGACTTATAATTTCGCTTTTACATTAACTTCTTTTTCTGAATGTGCTGAAGATGAACACAAGCTGAAATATTTTCTGTTTCAGTTATGAATTATTTTCTAGCTCTCCCAGCTTTGATTAAAATGCTCTGATCTGGTTAGGGCTGACGTCAAGAAGATTCTGAGGCCTAAAATTAAAAAAATATTCATGATTTTTGGAGATAAAATAAGTTGCTGAATCAGAAAGTAACTGCTGTCCTCCTTGCCCTTGCATTATGCACTATGCCCTTGACATTTTCAAAAGCAGAAGCCTGGAGGATGTATTTTGAGAGGCAGTGGTTTCAAACAGAGAGGACACTTATTTCAAAATACCTTGCTATACAATTCCTTGTACTTCTGTTTTATTTGTTGTCTCTGCTCCAATGTTCGACTTGATAAGACTTCAATAATTTTTTTTTCATTGGTTCCTGAAAAAGAAGTTGTGCATAGGGATTTTATAATCAGGAATCTAATGCAGAGGAAAGAAAATGTGACCTCTAAAGAGAAAAAAAATTCCTGTACATATATCCCCAGTGGTTCCACCTTTATGATTTGTACTATCTAAGATTCTTTTGAGGATAATTTAAACTGTAGTCAGCTACAATATTCAATAAAATAAAATTTCACCATCTCATGCTGTTAATAGCAAAGAAATTGAGTTTTCTGTTTGAGAAGGGCAGATACTGCTCCTAAAATCAGGGTTATGCCAGTGCCCACAGGCTGACAGACATGTTTTTAGGGACAATGCTTGTTTGAGCAGTCCCAAGGGATCAGCCATCAGATCCAGTTTGTTATGGCATGAATGCTGCGCTGGCACAACAGAGTGAGGGCAGTGGGGCAAGAGGCCAGGCAGGCAAGGATGTGCTTGAATCAGCTCATTAACCTGAAGCCTGGATCTACAGCCTGTTAAAAATTGGTTTTAATTTTGCTGAATGGAGTCAGGAAAAAGGACCTGGAACCAGCCTGAATGGTCTCAGTCTCTGCCAATACTGTTTTGCTTGTCAGAAAGCAGAGTGAAGTGGGATTGTGGGATGCCCAAAGAGATAAAGCTGTTGTGCTGCCCATCCCAGAGGGGAGCTGGACATGCAGCCCCTCTCCAGGGGAAAGCCCTCATTCAGCTTTGAGCTCTAACTTATGCAATGGATTGAAAAACCTTCCTAAAGGCAGTGACCTTGCTCTTGCACTTCTGCTGCCCTCTGCCATATAAACAGATGTTTGCACATAAAGAGATGTTTGCACTAAACAGAGCTGCTGGAAGGAATTTGTTACAGCTAAAACGAGACAGGACCACAGTGGTGATACCTGGGTGTACAAAGGACACAGCAGGGCAGCTGTGGCACTGGCACAGGGGTTAGGGTTGCACTTCCACCTGAGGACCAGCAGATGGACTCGGGCATTATTTCTTCACGACAAGAAATTGAGAATGTGAGCTAGGACAGACACATGGCCTGACTCGTGATGGGCACTGCCCAAATGCCCACAGGATGGCAGACCAAAGGCATCAAGACATTTGCCAGGTCTGCTGATGCCCACACATCCTGCTGGTGGTCACTGCCCCACACTCTCCTTGAGCTCTGCCATCTGATGCCTTTGTGTGGCCATCTCTGGGCTTTGTGCTGTGCCTCATCTCAGGCTTTTAGGAGCAGGAACCAACAAGGGTTTCTGAGTAGCAACCAGCACAAAGGATAAGGATACAAATTATACTGGTATTCAGCAACAGCAGATATGTTTTCATCCCTTATTACCACCAGGTACATGGAGGACAACTTTAGGGCATCTTGTTCTTCCTGCTTAGATCCAAGGCAGAAGGCATGGTCCAATTTTAGAAGGAATTCTGCTCTTGTTTGATAACATTGGGTTAAACTCTCAATTAGGAGAGTCCTCTGGCAACTGTCTTGAAAGGGCTCAGTTGGTACAACAGGAATAGTTCCTAAAACTCAACAATTCACTGGCTGATTCTGGATGTCACTGCCATACCAGGAAGAAATGCTTAAATACATATTAACTGTGCAAATAACTAGAGTGAATTAATAACTTATTGATCTTGTGTGCTGCCTGGATGTTCTTCCTTTACTGAACATTGTCACCTCCATGGACCTTAGGATCCCATGAAACACTGTGCATTCCTCACTCACATCAGTGCAGTCAGGCTTACTTCAAACTGACTCAGAAAATGCTGAAGGACAGCTATTTTCAGTTAAAAATCACTGGTGAAAGTTGAAATCACTGTAAATTCCTGCAGCTGATGGAGCTGCAGTGGGCACAGATGAAATATGCAGGCGATGATGTCCTTTACTGGTCCCTGGAGACCTGAGAAAGGATATCTAACCATGACCTTAATCTAACCTGACTAGCTGGACCCTCTGACTGTCAAATTAGTCTTGGCAGCTTGATGTCCCTGTCACAGGGAACAAATACCATGTTTACCCTAATGCTCTGGAGACATGCAATTATCAAATTAGATCTTACCAATCTTTGAGGAGCAAGCTGCCTTCCCTTCCCATTTATCTTCATAGGTGTGAATGTTGTTTGAGTCAGTATTTGATGGAAAGCATAAAGATTATACCTAAAACTGGTTGGAACAGTTGGTTTGCCTAAATTCATGTATATGCTTTTTATAATCTTGATCTGCCCTTTGCACAAAGTCCAAAAATCTCCAAAATCTTTCTTACCTGCTCCTTTGCAGGCACTGTGAATTTTCTTGGCATCTTGCTCTGCATCAGAGCCATGGTGGTGGCGGTGCTTGTGGGCTGACTGTGAGGAGACAGAGACAGCAGAAACATGAGAAACACATGGGAAACAATTCTGCATTGAATTATAACAGTTTGGGCCAGGTCCTTGCTTGATCTTTGTTCACACTACCTAAACCTTGAAGTTCAGGCTGGGCTTTGCTGAAATACGGTATCTATCTCTAGGGTTCCTGGAATGGATCCACAAATTGCTGTCACCACATAAAAACCACAGTGGTCTATACAACTTTGTCCCCATGTACCATATGTATATGTATATGTATATGTATGTATGTGTATATATATATGTACATATATATGTATGTGTATGTTACCCTACATAACATGTCACCATATGACATACATGACCTATAGAATTTTGTTCTGCCAATCAGTTCTGTCTTATTCAAAGAATTTAGGATAATTTCATACTAGACATCTTTATGCCAGATCAAATATTATTGGTTTGTACCACTTTAACAACAGGCCTCTACAAACACCTTGGCAGAACCAGGACCTATCTCTGTAGTACATTTTTAAGTACTGTGAACACTCCCAATCATCTGGATAAAAACTGCTCCTGAAAACCTTTCTTGTATTGATGCATTCATGCAAACAAGATAATTGGAGATACATAATGTGATAAAGCTGGGGTTTTTTGTTGTTGCTGAGGAAGTGGGTTTTGCTTTTTTTTTTTATTTTGGCAAAATAATACATGTGGCTACCTCAAGCTAAATTTACAGGGACAGGATAATAACTCAAAGTCCACAGCCACTGCAGCAGTTTACAGCCTGACATATCAATGTAAACAGAAAACCATGCCTGCTCCTTGTGATCTGAGTTAGCTGTTAATCTCCCAAGCTGTGAGTCGCAGGGGCTGCAATGCTGGTACACCCTCCACTCTGCTGCTTCTCAGAAAAGAGTAGAATTATCTGAGACCACAATGACAGCAACAATTTCAGCTCCTCTAACACAATTACTCAAATATTTTAAATGCCCAAACTCTAAAACAGTAGTAGAACAGAGGTTCTGGGCCTCTAAGTCAAGCAGCACAAGCCAGCATGCACACCACAGACTGGGGGTCTAAGTGGGCCCTGGCAGTGCTTTGGCATTTCCATTTAAAGAGCAACATGTGGATCGGGCTGTTTGTTTGCAGGGCTGCCAGGCACTGGCACACCACTGTTAATTCAGAGTTGTGATACTGCAGGGCATGGCAATCTGCTTTTAAGCCCTTCTGAAAATGCCACCAGCCTGCTGAGAGCAGAAGAGGTTAAATGGCTGATTAACCTCCTTGTCTCTGGGGGTACCACAGGGCAGAGGCCATTCCTGAAAGACATTTGGCATAACATCATTCTGCTTGTGGAATAAAGATAATTTAGGCACATGGCTGTGGGCCGTGCTCTACCACATGCCCATCAGGCCAGGGAACATCAAGTTTTATTTACAAGTACAGATACAGTCTGAAAGTCTGTTTGTTGGTATGCTTCAAAAGTTTCAGGCTGTCATCTACTAGTTCTGGTGAAAGAGCTACAACTCTGGCTAAAGGGATCCTCTGTCAAAAGGCAAAGGGTCAGCTCTCAAGGAGGAAAGCTCAAATCCAGTCCCTACACTGCTTTACCAATGTGCCTTTGTGATTGACTGAAGCCATTTAGGTACCTGGCTTTTCCAGGTAGGATAGAACCTACTGCTAATGGTAGCTGAAACACAAAGTTATTTTTACTACTATAACAATTAGTGAGGTAAAATAACAATGTAATAATTTCATCTTTACAGCACAAGGTAACACTTTGCCCCATCATTAAGGCAAAAGCTTTTAAAGATGTATCCTGCTGTATTCTCACACAAATTTTCCTAAACCTTTCAAACAAGATGGAAATAGTTGCATATAGATAACTAATATTTTCTAGTGGAGATTTTATTTAACAGTCTTCAAAGAGTTTCCCAAGAGTTTGGGTCAAAATGGAAAGGGAAAAACATGAAGTTAGAAAGCAGATGCATTGATAACTATTAAAAATGAATTCCAGTCACAGTTTTCTATTCTGGCAGAGTGTAGGTGCTTCTTCAATGGCATCATGTCCAAAGGAAATGGACTGACAGGCTGAGAGAGCTGGGCTTGGTCAGCATGGAGAAGAGAAGGCTCCAGGGAAATACCCCTACTTTGGCTCTGTACTGTTAGTGTGCCTATGGTAGATCTTGCTGGCTGTGTTAGGCACCCAGTTCTGAAGTTGTTCTAGAGTTGTTTGCATAGCAAACCAAAAGGACCAAAGAAGCAGCTGAAAAAACAGAAAAAGGGGGAAATTTCTGTAGCACAAAATACAGAGAAAAGTGCTAATGTATCAAATGTAGATATTTTACTACTTTGTAGTTATCCAAGTGCTATTCTAATTTATAGACTCTAAGATTCCCTGCAACAATAAGAGTTGAGAACTGTTGCTTCACATTCACTGCCTCCTAACCTGGGACAGAAGTGGGATTGTCTCCCACTTTTCAGACCTTCAGCCTGGACAGAAACACCTTCACAAACACACAAAGGCAGGAGCTGGTTTGTCCTGTGCCTTGCCTTGCCCACCAGCAGTGCTGGGCTGTGGGAATTGCCCTTCTCATGCTGGTGCTGCCTCTGCAGCTCCCACTGCCCACTGCAGGGCACGGCCAGCCCAGGGCAGGACTGGGAGAGAGTGGTTTGCTCTCTCATGCCCTGATGGATGGTCAGTTATCCCCAGGTTTAGGGAGCCCCTCACTCCTAGGTACAACTGGCACTGTAGGTGTTGTGTTTGTGTGTGGCACAGGTGCAGCAGGCAGGAAATGGCACCACCAGAAACTGAAATAACATTGTAGGTGTTTGATTATTCATAAAGACATGAACACAGAAACATTTATTTTCAAGGCAAAAATCATGCAGGAAGGAATGCCTGCTTCAATGTTCAGGACATGTTTGTTTTAAAGCACCAGAGGAATTTATTGAGTCAGCTCTGCTAAAGCCTCTGTCTTCAAAAATGTCACTGTAAAACACTAAATGATGCATCTGGGGGATACCATTCTGTTACTCCTGTGTGAAATACCAGGGAAATCTGACACTGTGGTAAGTGACTGTCAAAGCCAGCTCCTGGGTCAGCTGAGAAGCACTGGCTAAAATTCACTTCTTTCTGAGTCCCATCCTTGACCTTCCCACTGACACAGCTTCCCAATGCAGGAGAGGGAGAGCTGTGCCAGAGTTGTTTCAGAGCTGTACTCCTTACCCTGTGGATTTTGCCAGGTGGATTTTCCTGTAAGTGATACATGGCAAAATCAATTGATGTTTAATACCATTTGTAACCTGTAGTCATTTTTCTTCTAAAAATATGGGCAGAACCACTTTAATACAGTTATTTTTTAGAGTTAGAATTTAGATTAGATTAGATTAGATTAGATTATATTAGATTAGATTAGTTACTGACTTAGAAGTATTCTAGCAAATTTTGTGAGAGCATGATGTGGAGTCTGAAATATCAGGTGGAAAGACTGCAAACAACTTTGAAGCTAGGGTGTAAGGGAACTTGTTTTCACAAACTGGTCCAGCTCCATCCACTCATTTATTTAATTTTCTTCTCATTCCTCTCCTATAGTTCTATATTAATTAAGGTGACCAGAGTTCTGATGGTAAAAAATATTCTTTTCACTTCTAGCATAGTTGTATTTATGGCTTGTGTCAGCTTGTTTTCTCTTATTCTGAATAGCTTTTGTCTCACTCAAGTATGTTTTAGACAATAACCTGTTTCCCTTGCAGCTTTGGCTAAAATTGCCACAGATTTATTTATATTAAACTGGACAGTTTATAAAAGATCTAAGACTAACTTGCTTTGTTCTAACTTGTTTTAAAGCACACCAAGTAGTTTTTGCTACTATAATTTACGTCTGACTTTAGGGAGCTGCAAGATGAGTTTATAGTTGAAGATGATCTGTAATGCTTAGAGAAGCTTTGTAGATTTTCTTTGATGTTTCAGCATGTGGAGCCCTTATGGAGCACAAATAAACAGTTTAGCAAAGGTCAGCAAACCCAAAAGGATGTGGTGGGGGGGGGAGGAACAAGAGCTCTGATGGATTCAAGGCATCAGGAGAGGCATTGGTAGGTTGCTGCAATACATTGCAGACACTCCTAAAAATCTAGAGCTTTCCTCAGGTTACAGACAATTAAGCTTGCAGTAGGTACAAAGTCCTCATCTGTCAGTAGACAAGAACAGAAGTGCTGCCATGAACATGTCAGGTAGTTTCCTGTATTGCAAAAGAGAGCAAAAACAGCTCTCTGAAAACAGCTGATAACAGCTTGAGCAATCACAGCTATTTTTCCATTTCCATGATCTCACGCAGATGCCACAGGGCTGCTCAGGAGCAGGTTTAGGGAGGAGTTCTGTCAGAACAATAAAAAGGAGCAGCTGCTCAGGGTGCTGGGCACCTGCTGCAGCTCTAACAGAGGTTGATGCTGATGATGTACATGGAGAAATGCAGGCACAGACCCTTAAAGAAGATCACTAGGAAGAGCCAGGAGTGTGACTGCTGACCAGAGCAAGTGAGATCAGCTCCAGTAGCTGCAGGCAAAGCTCTAAAAAGAGTTGGATTGATGCAGGTATGATGAGTGCCTGCTCCAGTCTTCATTTTTGCCAGGTACAATTTATGTGCTTTATTTAGTGGCTGTCTAACTTCAAGCTTGTCTTTGGCTGCTGTTTAACAGAAATAAAAATTAAATCTAAAAGTGGCAGCAGACAGAAAGGGCAGACTGACCCAGCTGTGCTCTTTAGAGCATTAACTCATACACTTGAGTGGGATCAGGAATAAAATTTAGGGCAGTATTTACTTGTCTAAACACAGGTCTCTGGTGTTGTTAGAGATGTCCCAGGGTAAGCTGCCTGCTATCAGACATCAGTGGTCTCCTGTGGGTCTGCACCCATCAACCTGGTGTGAATATCTCACATACCTGAGAGCATCACCAGTGGATACTGGGCGTGGGCTACACAAACATGCCAGAGTTTTTCCACCCATTTTCTTCTTCTTCACATATATTTAATTATGTTCAAAAAATGCATTGGAGAAAAATGAGGTTTT